CCCCAATCCCCCCCCCCCGGACCCGACTCCCATTCCTGCTCCTCCCTACTGCGTCACCCCTTATTCCCCCGCTTCCCTGCGTGATCGGCCTCCCCACCTTCGCACACGTGCGCACTTGGGCCTCAGTGGGAGCAACACATCTGTTACACGATAACGCAGGTGTCTTAAGATGAGCTCAAAGATAACAGAAACCTCGTGTGGAGCAAAAGGGCAAAAGCTCATTTGATTTCGATTTCCAGTACGAGTACAACCTGTGAGGGTGTGGCCTATCGGTCCTTTGGCGTTTCAAGACTTCAAGCAAAAGGCGTCCGAAAAGTTACCACCGATATAACGGTTCGTGACCGCCAAGCGTTCATAGCGACGTTGCTTCTTGATCCTTTGACGAGGGTTTTTCACCACCATTGTGCGCAATCGATCTGGCGACCTCGTCGGTCTAGGGGTTGCTTGAAGACCTTCCTCGACTAGGAGGAAGGACATTCATTGCTCCCGCCCGACCAGGAGCGTGGTATTTTCAATCTATCTCCGTCTTACTAATTCCCTCCCTCAAAGTTTTCATCTTTCTCGTCATCGTCTATCCCCTGTGTGTCCGATTTTGGATTCAACGCGGGTTCCACGTTGAATTATTGAACGCGCGTTGAATTCTCGTTCAACGCCCGTTCAAACGCGCGTTGGATGGGGAAAAACGGGGTCCGCAATGATTTTTTTCCTAGGCAAAACATAATTGAAAAAATATATATATATATATGGGGTCGTAGATCTTTTCAAGGTCTACGGCCCTATATTTTTATTTTTATTTTTTGAGCTTTAAATATATTTAAAAAAAATCAAAAACGTAAGCACAATGAAAAAAACAAAAACAAGAAATGACATGTTTTTTTTTTTGGGGTTTCACAAAAAAACTTTTAAGGGCTAAACAAAAAACAGAAAAAACAAATAAAAAATATAGGGTTGTAGATCTTTCAAAGATGTACAACAAAATATTTTTTTTGTGTTTTTTTTTATAACTTCGTGTATTTTTAAAAATATCAAAACCATAAACAACATTTTTTTTGGCCTTCATTGCTTAGGTAATCTTTCTGGGTAGACTCCCTGCTGGGTAGACTCCCTGATTTGGCCTGCTTCGTTCACTGTTGTTGCAACCACCACCATCAGATCATTTGTGATCTGATGGCTGGGAAGTACTGTGCCGTGATTTCCAGTGGGAGGTCTCTGTTTGTTTTTTTTCTTTTTTTGCCTTTCTTCTGTTTTCTCAGCCCAGAAACTCGTAATGAACCTGTCAGGCCGCTGCCACTCATTGTCACACTGGATCGGCCACACTCCAATCCGTCTGCTAATGGGACCATGCCACTGGGGCGAGGTCCCATTAACAGTCAGATAGGAGTGTGGCTGATCCAGTGTGACACTCAGTGGCAGCGGCCAGACAGGTTCATTACGAATTTCTGGGCTGAGAAACAAGAAAAAGGCCAAAAAAAAAAAAAGAAACAGAGACCTCCCACCGGAAATCATGGCAGAGTGCTTCCCAGCCCTCAGATCACAAATGATGTGATGGTGGTGGTTGCAAAAACAGTGAACGAAGTAACCGCCACATTTTCTTGGAACAAAATTGACTTCTGTTAGAAGTGATCCTGACACCCTCCATATACCCCGTGATTGAAGGAGGGTTGCACCCAATGAGATAATTGCACAACAGCAAGTAAAATACTGAATATCTTCTATCCAGTGGGCTAAGGCCGACCCCAACCTCATTTGGGGTTGGCCGCACCCCCAACCGATTGAAAAGATTCAGTCAGGAAGCTTTCTTTGCACTGACTGGGGGATCACGAGTACTCCATGGCAGGATTTGGGTCACTCAACTGCCTCGCAAACTCGTTTTTAGCCTATCCCGTTGCTAGTGGGACCTCGCCCCTGGTGCTTGTCATTGCTGTCTGGTCGAAGTTGCCCTCAATACTGGTAGGGTGATGGTCCTGAGTGCTGGTCACACTGAGGTAGGATAGTAGGGACAGGGGGTCTGGTCCTTGGCCTCTACAAGACCCTGGGCTTTCAAAAAAAAAAAAAAAAAAAAAA